AGAGAGTGAAGTTTTGTAGGAATGGCAGGTGGGGGTGGAGGTACATCAAGACAACTTGATCAAACACCCACTTGGGCTGTTGCTGGTGTTTGTGCAGTCATTATTATCATTTCTATTGCCTTGGAAAAGATTATTCACAAACTTGGCACTGTATGTATGCTAAATATTTAATCTTTTGTTCTTCAATTTGTACTTTTGTTAGGGGATTTTCATTGTTCTTTGCTTTCTTTTTCTGGTTCTTAATCTTGGATTATATTGTACAAGATGTGTTGATATTTCTCCTAGCCAGCTGCATTACAATAAGTGCTGCTTGAAGAAATTTCCTTTCTTGTTTCTTGGTTTGGTGTTAAGAGGATTTTGCAGCTATATTTGCTGTTTGACTTTTTAATTTCAAGACAATATCTTTTTGTCTGCGGAAGTATTGCCTCACCAAATTTGAAGTTGGATTTATGTTCTTTGTAGAGCCTGGAAATTTTTCTTGACTGCTCAGATACTGATTACCAAACCATGGGTTGTTTCTCTATGAGTATACCTTTGTTTTGCTAGTCCTAACCCTTGCCTTGTTCTTCCCTGTTTTCCCTCTTTTGCTAGTCCTAATCCTTTCTTAGCTTTGAGGTAATTTCATGTGTTTAAATTAGTTTTTCACATTTGGTTTTGTTATCCTGTGCTATTTCTGTTACTGTTACCCCCCAAAAGAAATGTACCCATATTGGATTCTTGGACATCATAGCTATGCGGTTTATGTCATTGGTCGTGGGACTTATTTTCAACCATTGAACGCCTTTTATGTGCTTCCTTTTGAATTTTGATCAATTAAACAAATAAGGACGAGAGCAAAAAGTGGTTCCGTGTTATGCCTTGTCAAATGAACATTCCGTTTAGTCTAGCAGAAACTATATTGCCTTGTGATATATTTTATTGAGGACATCTACTTGGAGTTCATTCTTCATCCTTTTATTCGGATGTTTGGGCTTGCCTTTGCTCTGTCAAGGAGCATCTTGAAGTGCACACGCATCTGTGTTTCCATATTGTATATTTTGACGTTTATTGTCTTTATAGTGACATGACTTCTACCAATTTATAGTGATTGTTTGGGTCCATGTGAATCTTCACTTCTCTAGTGATTTACTTACAAAATGAAATCTTTTCCCAGTGGCTCACAGACAGGCATAAGAAAGCTCTATATGAGGCTCTGGAAAAGGTTAAGGCTGGTAAACTTTTGTGCTCTCAACTTCTTATCATTTTACTGCGGAATAGTCTTGTTTTCTGTGTTAATGACTCCTCTCTAATTGTTGCAGAGTTGATGATTCTTGGTTTTATCTCATTAACGCTTGTATTCAGCCAGTATTATATTGCTGGAATCTGTATCCCATCAAGTGTAGCTGACACAATGCTCCCGTGCCCTGCTATTGACAAAAGTGCTAAGACGGATGAAGCCGAGGAACATCGTCGGAGGCTTTTATGGTATGAGCGCAGGATTTTGGCTGGCGCAGAGTCTAAATGCAAGGATGTAAGTCGTAAATTTGTATATGGAAAAAATGACATTGCAGGGGTTTTGACAAGGTGAGTTGCTCTGATGGTAAGCACCCTCCACTTCCAACCAAGAGGTTGTGAGTTCGAGTCACTCCAATAGCAAGGTGGGGAGTTCTTGGAGGGAAGGATGCCGGGGGTCATTTGGAAACAGCCTCTCTACCCCAGGGTAGGGGTAAGGTCTGCGTACACACTACCCTCCCCAGACCCCACTAGTGGGATTATACTGGGTTGTTGTTGTTGTTGACATTGCAGGGGTTTTGCTTGTTGTAGTCAATCACCCTTTCCTTGAATTAATTTAGGTGACGACTAATTTTTGTTTATCTTTTTTAACTGAGACAATCAGATATGATGCACAAACCTTTTAAAATATTTGTTACTCAAACTGATTCACTTTTCAAACAATCAGACTGTCAATAAGAAAGCTGCAAAACAAATTACAGTTCTCATTCCAGTATATCCAGGTATATGGAAAGTAATTTATATTGCATGCCTGTAGCCTGATCGAAGATTCCTCCTTCAATAAATAGTAAGCAGTCTTAGGTCTCTCCTCTCGACGTGCAAAGAAAAACGTTTAAATAACTACGTAGTTCAATTCATACATTGGTTAGAAGGATCCATATTTTGTGTTGACAATATATAAGATCCACCTAATGTGGTTCATTTATTTTAGGATCCTCCTGACAATGGTTGCCTGCTCCAACTTATATACTTCGGTGATATGTTCCTCCAGGGGAACCTGGTGTGTGTTGGGGGGGGTTAATCTCAGTATGTTAAGATTAGCAGGCTTGATATTCTTTGAATAACCTAGAATCCTTCATTTACTTAATTGGATGACCATTTATTTTAGATGATGAGAATGCTAAGTTTATTCGGTATTAATCTCCACCAGAATGAGCACTTGTTTGTCCTTTAAATATCCTGGTAGCTATTGATAAACGAGAAAACATCTGATGCCGTAACATTTAAGTAGTTTCCTGAAATAGAATTTTAGGATTTGCCGCTCTACTGATACTGCCAGTGTTATCTTAGTGTGAAATTTCGTAACAAAAGTGCCATTCTATCAATAATCGATACATTTCATCTAACTGTTTCTTCCTTTAAAGTTAGCTCAACTACTAAATAATTACCTTTTTGGTTTATCTATTTTGGATATTTATGTAGCATTTCCTCTAAATTTACTAAATTACAGCATGCTCTAGGTTCTCTTTATCAAACTAATTTGAGTAACCTTTTACAGGGACGTGTTTCTCTCATTTCTGTCGATGCGCTGCATCAAATACACATACTTATATTCTTTTTGGCGGTCCTTCATGTGATATACAGTGCTATTACTATGTGGCTGGGAAAACTTAAGGTAATTCAAAGTATAATTTTCATTAATTCCTGCATTATACTTGAACTGCTGTGCCATTTTGTGTCGACCTTTTGGAATATCAAGAGAAACTCTGGTGGAGACCAGTTATTGGCTCTATATTATTTGGTGGTTTCTCTGGTCCATACCTTGAGCCCTTCAGAATTCAGATGATATATCACATTTGGACAAAGGTTAAATACTCTACTGGTAATGACTTAAAGACTGCAATACCAAATGCTTATGACATATTTAATGTTGATCCTCTCCTCCTTATTAGAATATGCCATTATACTTCCTTGGCTGTCGCATCCCTGAAGTACTTAAGCATCTAGCATTTTCTCTTTTCCTCATAGTAATGAATTAACTAATATTCAGAAAGTGTATGAAATCATTCCAGGAGTCTGGTTTACGCGTATGCTCGATGATTTCTGGGGTCTTCAGGATAAGATGACGAAGTCAGTTTTTTCTTGTTTCATTGAAGATACATGTGGTAAAAAAAGCAATTGAAGATAAATTTCATCTGTGTTTCATCCAAGTTGTTATATTTTTTTTAAGCATTTTTTGTTTTGGTTGATAAATTAGATATCAACCAAAGAATTCGACAGTCAGTCAAGGGGCGCTGGTCATGGTTCAGGGTTTTGTTCTTTATTGATATTTGTTACTCTCTATTTTAGATTCTAGACTGTCTAATGCTTGAAAATATGTTCTTCAGATTCGTGGCTGGAAAGGATGGGAACAAGAGACCTCAACCCATAACTATGAGTTTTCAAATGGTATGTCATAGTCTGCTGTACAAATGGTGGAAATCTCTGATTTGCTAGTATACTGTGTTCGTTATCCTCATTTATTTGGATTGGGAATTGACCATTTCTTACATGGAACTTATAGATCCTTCAAGATTTCGGCTTACTCATGAGACATCATTTGTCAGAGCACATACTAGTTTCTGGACCAGGATCCCAATCTTCTTTTACATTGTAAGTAAGACACTTATATGAGAAGATATTGTTATTTTTATTCTATTTAAGAATTGCTTTATTCTTCAGCACATCCTGAAAGAAGAGTAATGGTTATTAAATGTTGCAATCTTATCTTTCCAGGGATGTTTCTTCAGACAATTTTTCAGGTCCGTGAATAAGTCTGATTACTTGACCCTCCGCAATGGTTTTATCAGTGTGAGTTTAGTTCTTTAGAATTATATTTTTTTTATGTCTTTCTTCTATGTTTTCTGTAGAAATTATAGATTATGCTTCTTATATAGGTTCATTTGGCTCCTGGAAGTAAATTTAACTTCCAAAAGTATATCAAGAGGTCATTAGAGGATGACTACAAGGTAGTTGTTGGTGTCAGGTAGAGAGATGTGCTATTTCTTTATCTCAGTTTTTCCCAACGAACTTGTACTGTATCATATCAACTGACTTATATTTGCTATTGGCAGTCCAGTTTTATGGGGATCGTTTGTGGTTTTCTTGCTCCTAAATGTTAGTGGTAAGTCATATTGTGATGGAAATATATTTGGACAACCCTTTTTTTTCCCTTCTATTTCACTTTCACTAATTAAGTCTGTTATTCGACATTTTTATATATTTTTGAAACATTTGATACATTTCAGGGTGGCATGCGTTGTTCTGGGCATCCTTAGTTCCTATGATTGTAAGGTTTTTTCTTCCTTGTCCACCTTTTGTGATTCCATTGCAGGGAATTCTGATACTTATTATTTTCTCAGATCATATTAGCTGTTGGAACAAAGCTTCAGGCGGTGTTAACAAGAATGGCTCTTGACATCTCAGAGAGACATGCAGTAGTCCAAGGCATCCCTCTTGTACAAGGCTCGGACAAATATTTTTGGTTCGGACGACCTCAATTGGTTCTTCACCTCATCCATTTTGCCTTATTTCAGGTATTACATGTCCCAATCAGATATATGTGATAAGCTAAAATACTGGAGTATTAGAGGACTGGAATGTACTTCTTCCGTTTCAATTTATGTATGTAGTTTGACTCGGTACGGAGTTTAAGAAAAAAAAAAGACCTGAAACTTGTACCAAATAGATAATAATTGTCTCTAGTCTGTTTCTGTGAATAACTTGTGAGAGATAAATGTGCGGCTAACACTGCAAAGTAAACGTTCAATTGTGCGTACATTCATGTCTAGGATTTGTGCTTGAAATTTAATAAAGGGAAAATAGGGCTGGGGTCTGGATTTTAATAGTTTGCCTTATGTATCTCATGCAATTCTCTATCTCCATCTATTTCCTACACTTACAAAAGTTTCATTGTTATGTGTATCTGATGCTAATCTATCATTTCAATTTGACAGAATGCGTTCCAAATAACATATTTCTTGTGGATATGGGTAATATTTCTTCCCCTTGTATCAAACTTCCCAAGATATTCGGTTTTTAAAACCATGAAACTATTGGTTGAAATGTTGATTATTTATTTTGCAGTATGAGTATGGGCTAAAATCTTGCTTCCATGACAAGTTTGGCTTCGTCATCGCGAAAATTGCTTTGGGGTATGTTACTTGCAACAGAAAGTCACTTTATTGGATGCCTATATATATGTTCTCAGAGCTTCAAACTGAAGCTTGCTCTTACTGAATCTACTTTGTTGTCCCATTACAGGGTGGGAGTTTTATTCTTATGCAGTTATATCACTCT